GTGTGTGTGTGTGTGCAAGCATTCGTGTGTATCTGTGTGCGGTAAAAGCCTTCGAGGATATCATTTTGCCGGTTAAATCACGACAGATTGCTAACTATCGGATTCTAGGACACTTTAAATGTGTGCACCCCACATTACCGATGAACACCTGACATGATTTAAATGTAAAGCCCTAGATACACCACATGTATGCAATAGGCACATCGAGGTTGGGAAGGCGACTGAGATATCGTCACCTCTCCATGAACTGCAGTGCTGTTTAGCAAGGCAGTTAACACTCAACTCGTTCAGCAGCTTTAGCCTGTACAGTGGAGGGGAGCAAAAAATGGCCTAATTTTGTGGCAGCGCATGTCAAATGCTGGTGATGCAGTGAACTTCCACCCACTGAAATGGGTATTTTCAATGGGTGCAAAAAGGGTTTTATTCTCTCCTGCATCCAATCAGTAATTCTGTAGCTCATAACAGCCTCTGATTTATAAGGGCAGTAGAGCTCACCAAGCATGGAGAACATTGCAATTTTGGAGGGAAAAAACAGCCCATGTCTTAATGCAAACGCTAGTATTCAAGTCTATTTTTACAACTTTGGCTGGTAAAGCTGCACAGGCACTCCAACATGGCATAAACACATTTTAAGTCTTCTACCACCAACTAAGTGTGACAGAGATCACTTAAAGATGACAAAGTGTGGAAAAAAAACAAGACTTTAGGTGTAAAGTAAAATTATATGTATGTGTAAATGGGTGTTACAGTATATTTACATATATGAGACAATTAAGCAAGCAAAGATGGCATCTAGTGTTGTGCTGGGTAACACCATCTCACTATGTGGTTTTTTTCCTGCCATCAAGCAGAGTGAAACATCGCTAACTTGAATAAGAATATTTGATTAATTTTTTTTAAATAATGTCAATCAACAGAGGTGTCACCCAAAAAAAAATTCTCAATAGCAGAATATGGAGAGAGTCCATGACTGCAGCATCTGGTTATTAAAAAAGCCTCTGTGCTGCTACAACAGAATTTTCTCAAAATCAATTACAGCTGTAAGTTTGTTTCCCCAAAGCGAACACAAGAAAAAGGTAGCACCCTAGTGGTAATACAGTAAAAAGAATCAGTTCATGTCTTGATCTTTTTGGTGAACTATTTGACTGACAAAACTGCTAATGAGTTTTGGCGTCAAGTGTTCAAAGCCTTCATCAGAGTGCCCTGGAGTGCAACTTTCATCCTGAATTTGTTTTTGGGAAATAAAACAAAATAGTTTCAAGGTTTGTTGTTTGTTCTTTTGGCCGCACTGCACCCCACTGATATTCAGTGCAGGAAAAATGTGTATCAATGTTATCAGTGATATGTCACTGATATGATCTCATGTAGCAGCTGTAGGACCTTGCTCCTTTGTTCATTCTTTAAGTCACGTTTTAGTGCTACATCCAAGAAACCTGTTGTAAAGGAGATGTTACATGTGACTGTTGCAGCTTCCTTTGTTTGGATGATAATAGAAAGCAAGGATTGGTGGCAATTAATGGCACTGAAGAAGTTTTATAAGTTGAGAAATAATATCTTTCTTATAGATGCATGAATGACTATATTCACCAAAACCCTGGGATGTTAATATGCGTGCTGCCAAGGACTACACTAGGAGGCTCAGTTATACAGCCAGCTAGGTTGGTTTGCACCAGAAAGGTTTGTGTAGTATTCTGCAAGAGCATTCTGCTAATTGTGGAAGATCTAATCAGTCTAAATATATTAGATCAATCTTGAGATGGAATGCACATCCCTGCCCTCAGACTGTACATCCTCACATCATCTCTCGTTCTGAAATTACCAAAACTCTGGCTATAGTGCCAAATTCTGATTACCAACACTGGTCAAGCCAGGCTTTGATAGAGACATATAATACCGTGCATGCAGCCCTTCTATAGTTTTTTTGAACAACACAGACAAAGGAGGAAATACTACATGACAAATTACACTTTCTGAGCATGAACACTGCAGCACTAGACAGAAGCCTTCTGAGACAATGTGTGGGATGATAAAAAAGAAGCAATTTATAATTGATATCATAGGCAGAAGTCTGCAAAACACTGGCAGGTAGGTCTATGCTGTGTGGGTACAAAATATTATGCAAAATACAAATATGAAGGGGATATAAAATCCTGCGGGGAAAAAAAATAAAGTCATGCTTTTTGCAGAAGTGTAATGGAAGCCATTTAAGCAGTCAATGATATCCCCCATCCTGCCCCCTCTCTGTTCAGCCAACTTCTTCCAAGAGAAGAGCATATCAAATGTGCTTTAGTCTCAACAGCTTGGAGGCAGAAGAACTCAAACATGCCCTGCAGAGAGACAACTCTGTGTCAGAAATCACACTCAACCAAAACCAGGCCTTTAATGTAACTAACTGTTCGCACGTATTTGAATATTCCAAATCTGAAACGGCCTCTAACTTAAAATGTGTTTTTTTGTGTTTTTTTTGTATTTATTTCATTAACTTTTTTTATTTTCCATGATTTTGTTTTGCTCATTTGCATTGGTAAAACAATGCAGTTCTCTTATCTGGCTGGTTTGACAGAATTTCATCCACGACCTCTGGCAGTAGACCAGACATGAGGATAGAAGGGGGGAGAGGATGGATGGAAGGATGCTAGACAGAGGACAGGTGGAGATGGAGGGAGTGGGCAGATCCCCTCCTCCCCAGGATGTGTGTGGGTCACAAGCCAAAGAGATGCTGCAGCCCAGAAGGGAGGATAGCTCTACCTGAGTCACTCTGACATCTCCTGCAGGTGCTGGTTTCTGTGGGGTTCAAATTACACATTTTTAAACGGGGCAGAGTTATCAGAATCAGCATGAACACCAAACATAATGCAGTATGACGGCTAGATCTGGCTAAAGGTGCGAAATGTTGGACTTCGGGTGGGAAATGTGGGCTCTCCATGTCGCATGTGGCCACAAAACAAAACAACAAACACAGTCTGTTAGATTGAATGTATTGCGGGGCGTGTCTAGTTATTAAACTGAGACTTGCTGCAAAGATTAAAATTTTTTACTGTAGCATAGTATTTTTAGGTCAGATACCCTTTTTTTGTACTGTTACACAACGAGTTAGGGACTCCTTGAACTAGGATGCAAAGCTCATATCCTTTGTGTATTACTTGATGTCCATTTTCAAATTCATTTAGAAAAGGAATGAGTGATCGGTAACGTTTTGCCAATCGATTTATAATCCCAAAGTACACTTAAACCCTAAACTACTCTTATCCTGTATACCCTGTTCACTTCAAACTCTCCAGACATTAGTGCCACAGCTAACAAATACTTTCTTTATCGATCAATCTGCTGATTATTTTCTCAATTAATCAAAAACAAATCAAAATTAAAAATGATGTACAACACAGAAAAGCAGAAAAAGAAACCTTTAAAATGTTTGCTTGTAAAATAACTTCAGCATTTAATCGCATATCAAAATAGTTGCTGATTAACTTTCTTTCTTTTGCCTAATCGCTGCAGCTCTACCTAATGTTGTATTTTTTTAAATCCTGTGCGTGGAGTGACATAACAGACCACATCAGTTACACGGCACTACAGGTTTGCTTTGGGTACATTTGTTATGACAGAGGTTACAGCATTGACCTGTGGATCTGACCTACATCCTCGCTGGGATATGAAATTCAGGTGGCCGGTGTATCTGCGTCACATGCTCGGTGAGTCAGCACGTCCTGCTTACAGCACTAAGCCTGGGGGTCACGACCTTCCACATCTGTATCAGAGAACTGTCACAACACTCACGATGATCCTACATATGATCACACACCCATTATCCACATCTGAGTCACACAGTAAATATATGCACAGTTGCACTCAAAGGCATAAAAGTAAACAGGGAAATACACATTGGCACACAGGTATGTGGACACAAGCATACGTACAAAAACAGAAAGAAAAAAAAGTAAATATGGAAACTGAGGTCTGTGTTGGTGTGTAAACAAACACAGTCAGTGTCTGGGCTTTGTGAAGATGTGCTTATATAGTAAAGCGCCTCAAACACGGCTAGGAAGAGCATCCGAGAACAGCGAGCTGTGAATGAACTGCTCTTATCAGCCACGCGCAGCTCCCCACCACTGGAGGGGAACTAGTAAATATCACATGTCTAATAATAACCAGGCACACTCGCTAAACTTCCACAATATGACTGTTGTTCCTCCAATGAAATCATTAGGGTGAAAAAAAGCGTGAATCAAGAATTCTGAGATTTCCTTCGGGCTGCTGTTTCATAATATAAGGCTGTGATTAAAAAGTGATGAGATTCCAGCGGTGGCGCTTTTACAGGTGAATTCATAAAGGAAGAATCGGCCATGAGAAGAAGTCAACACACCTCGACTGAAACGCTGAATAAAAATGGGAGCGATTAACAAGAAAGTCTTAAAAATTTAAGCAAGTGTTCCATCCAAGAATTCTGCATTGCCTGGGGTGCTGAGAGCTCCACCCTCACTCCTATCAATACTTGCCATCAGTTGGTCCTACCAGAAATTCCTTTCTCAATTCTCAACAACTTTACTTGGCCACTTGCTTTCAGCGGTAGGAGGGAGGGATGTCAAGCACAGTAATGATTCACAGAAAGAGCAGAAACCAACTGCAAAAACAAACCGTAGGCCGCACACATACAGTTCAAAGTCAAATGTCATGAATGAGTCACTAAACAGCCTGATGGGAAGTGCTCAGAGTGCAGTCAAAGGAGGTCAAAGTGTGTAACGTAAGCGACACAAACAAAGGAGGAAGGCGAGAGGGGGAGAGCGGCTGCATGTGACTGTGAGGTTGAGGATGCAGACGGTTTCAGTAGTTTACACCCTGCTCAGGCTAACAGGAAGTGCTGCAGCTCCATGGCGGCTATCTGGAAGTCGTGTTGCATTGTAGTATTGTCTACATAGGTAGGAAGAAGATTGTGTTATTGTCTGCACAAGCCGTTTTCTAATTAAGTTGTCAGTTTTAAGGTTAGATCAAACACTGATTGAATAGCCTGCAGCATCATGTCGTTTTTATTGCCTGGCTGCCCTTTACTCCTTCACGTGAAGGAAGTGTTGTTTCCCTTTATGAGACATTTGACAATAAGAGGTACATTAAGTACTTCTGAAACACCATTGAAAGACTAAAACAAAAAGCAGGCCTTTCTGTGCAGTAATCTAACTGCATTGTCCTTCCATGACTACACTCCCCCCTCCTCCTCCTCCTTCTTTCCTAATGAGTGGACAGGCAGACAGGCTCTGGCTCCGAGCACAGGTCAACAACTTAAAAAAGAACCCACAGTGGAAAAGTGGGTCATCTTCTCCTGACATAGAAACACATACACTTGCACTCTTCACACCAACATGGATAAGTGCTCCTGTAGGTGCCATAAACTGGAAGTTGTTCAGTGCATGATGCTGTCTATAGTCACCACGACTCACATTGTCTTTATTCTATACATCAAGGACAACAATGGAAATTTTTGAATTTGCATATATAAGCTAAATGGAAATTAGTTTATTTGCATGTTTGTTCTAACTAAGGAATTATTGTGCAATCAAATATAATTTCTCTAACCTGAAGCATGACCTACAATCCCCCTAAGAATAACCCAAACCCACCATAAACCCCAAACTTAACTTTCCCAATGCCCAGCCTTGATACAAGACATAAAGACTTAAATATAACCACAACTTCAACTGTAACACTAAAGAACAGAAATAAGCCAAAAACTAACCAATACATCGCCAATGTCAATGTATGCTTGTGCACACAGACAAAAACCCACTCAAAGTAACCCCATGACAGAACAGCATGTAGGTCAACCTGTGGTCAGCTGATCTGTCCTGATCCTGTCTTGTGTGAGCGGCCAGTGCTTTAGACTACAGTCACTCTGGCACATCAGACAAGATAGAAGCCCATATTATTCATAGCCTAAATTACAGTTGCAACGGACACAACGCTGTCAAAGCACAGTTGGAAATAACAGTTCTGCATCTAGTCTATTTAAGAGTGTGTACTTTAAAGAGAAAAACAAACTAATTCTGCTTTAATTACTGCAATTGCATTATTAATTAATTAATGTGCAACTTCTTAGACCCCATCAACTGCTCAATTGGCCTCTGTCAACACCTGATCCTGCCCCATGCATGCATACACACTAGAGATAATAAACCAAATAGTTTTGTGCAGAGATACACACATAGACAGCACACACACACACACACACACACACACACACAAACACACACACAAACACACGCACACACACACAACCACATCACACACGCACACACTAACCCAGGCCAATGCAAAGTCCCTGCACATCTCATCTCATTCCCTTCATATGCAGAGAAAAGACTCTAAGTGTTCACTAAAATTTCCTTTCCGCAGAAGGGCCAGTTGGCTACTCTCATAAGCTTTTGCTGCTTCCAAGCTCCCTGCCTGTGCCTTCTCACTCTCATCTCTGCCACATATTCCTTACTCCTGCTCACTCTTTCTTTCTTACTTCCTCATCCTTTTCTTTTGCTCACTCTCTTTCTCCTCCCCTGCTCTTCTATCTGTCATTTTTCCTTGTCCAGCGTCTGCACAATGCACATCAATTATTAGAGCAGTCTCCCCCGGTTTCTCCGGCTTATCCATCAGAGCAGGCTCTGCACTAATGGCTCCTGCTGTACTGCTACCGCTCCAACAGACCTCTCGAGACAGCCGGGGGGGAGGGAGGAGAGAAAGAAGAGGAGCAGAAAAGACAGCGAGGAGGAGGGAGATGAGAGGAAGATAAAGAACAGCGAGCCGACGGCAGACAAACAGTGAGTAGAGATAGAGAAGGCAGATATTCGAGTGCTTCTCACCTCTGTCGTGGGTGCTTGTTATTGATGTTCCAGCTAGTCTGTCTAGGTCCATTGCCCTGTTTTCTAAGCTGCATCACCCACACTTAGACAAGTGCACACAAAAACTATGCAACACATGCTAATCCAGCAATGCGCCCTGGCATTTGTCAGGAAGGGGAAAAAAACAGAAGAAGCTGCAGATGCAAATTGCATACAATGGGAAAGGAGCTTAATATGCTGTGCAGGGCGGGCTGGACCCAATAGCATGAGAGAGGAAGTGGAAGAAGAAGAAAGAAATGAGGTGTAAAGATCATTTATTTATCCAAAGGCAAACAAATAGTAAGTTAATCAGCCTTACAGAGAAGGGGATTCTCTGGACAGATCTTAAACCTACAACGTCCCCCCTGTCTTTATCAGAGGCCACTTTGTAAATCCAACTAACAAAGGACACATCAGAGGCTGGAAGAGTGCAACTGAATCAAAGAAGGAGGCAGGTTTTGAGGGTGAATCTGAGTTGCATCTCTCCTTTGCTGCCCCCTAACCATAACCCACATGGCAAAAAAAACAATCTGCATGAATGAACAGGAAAGACGCTAAGTTGTCATGTGCTCTTCTTTTTTTTTTGTCATTGCTCTCTTTCTCTCTTTCTCTCTCTCTCTCTCTCTCTCTCTCTCTCGTACCAAACTGTTAAGATGTGCTGTACAGCCAAAGAGCGGGAAAGCCCACTGGCCTTGTGACAGCAGAGGGAAGTTGTCTTTCGTGTGGCCTTTGTGTGACAGACACAGTCAGTCATCAACAGTTTCACAAATGTCCCACGCACATTTGAAACACACACAACGGAGGCATTGTTGGACAGAAATATAACTTGAAAAGGGTGTGTCAAAAGCCCCTGGGGGATGATGGGTGGGTGGGGGTGGGGGTGGGGGATTGAGTCCTGAGGTGTGGGTGCCAGATCAGTCAACCCTGAACAAAAGAAGGATTTAAATCATTTGCTCATCCGGTTTTGACAAGAACAAAGTCTTCTGTGTACCACGTAGGACCGCACTGGCGGCTCAGCTGGGATATTACCAAAATGAATTTACTTGCAACTGTGTAAACCAAACCAATTAAGTAGCAAGTGATAGAGAACCCAATCAGCCAGCGGCAGCGAATACCTAATAAGTATTTCCCCATGAGCTTTATTTCTATAAACTTAATAGTGAAGTTCTAAAGGTAGTTTTGGCTTGCAAAGGGGTTTCATCATCTAAGGCAAACCACTGGAGAGTGTCAGAGGAGAGGCCCGCCTGCTAAAAATAAACCCTGTTTCCTGTTAATAATTCAGCGCGCTGCTCTTACTCAGCAGTAATTAAATATAAAAGTCTGTAAGGTTGATTGGGTCAGTAACAAAGGATGCCTACACCTTCCTCTAGTTCTACACACACAGCTCAAAGATGGAAAGAAAGATGGGGTGAGAAAATCAATCAAGTGAAAGTAAATTGAGACAGGTAGGTGGAAGACATGTCAGACTGTTGTAGGCTAAAGAGAGAGAGGGGGGGAAATAGAGAGAGAGAGAGAGAGAGAGAGAGAGAGAGAGAGTTTGCACTCACACTGTGCAATGAATCTACACAAAGTCTAATGGGAGCACTTATTTTCAGTTGTTCATTCTCTTGCACTGCTTGCTGAATTATGGGAGTTATGAGTTGGTGAAGTGTTTTTTTCATGAGCTATGTGTGTTTGTGTGTGTGTGTTTCATGGGACACAGGGTTAGTTACAGCCACACCCTGGAAGTTTTCTGTCACTGTTGACACAGCAGAGTGGCTGTTTTCCTGATGTGAAACACCAGATTGCCCTGTGAGCACGCTCTGTTGACTGACCGAGCGCTGACAATTCCACAGCTCTGCTGGAACAATGTCAGATGTGAGTGGGTGGGGGGGATTTACCAACCAACTAGAACAAAGATACACTCTTTTTATCATATTGGGTTTTTTTTACACTCATTCTTAAATTGGCAGCAGAAGGGAAACCAACACATAAAAAAACATCAAAGACAATTATCACTTAGATAAAAGAGATCTTTAAAATCATCTGCTCTTTTCCCACAATAGTAAGTATTCACTACTGGAGCTTCACTTCCTGTGTGAATTCTAATAACATGTGAAGCCAACATAAATTATTGAATCATTATTTCTTTTGAACAAGACCCAGGAACAACAAGCACCAACCTGCATCTGACTTAAATATTAAAAGGAGGTTGAACATAGCGATCATTCCAGGGAGCAGCTACCTTTAATCCAGAGCGTGTCAAGTCATGTTGAAAACATAATACACAAAACTTAGTCACACTTAAAATTTACTTTCATCTCATTAAAACTTAACAGGAGGGGGCATTGTCAAGTAGAGGAGGCAAAAAAGTTGCCATAAAAAGTGGATTGAAAGAAAGAGAATAAACTGCTATGAGCTTGGTGACAGATTCACTGAGGAGGGAAACTATAAAATCCTTGATAGATTACACGGCTAATCTGATTTGTTGTCTGCGGAACTTCACAGTAGCCCAACAGCTCAGAGTCTATTAGGGTTGTGTGTGTTTGTAGGGCAGCAGCACACCTATTATCTAATGAAGCTCTCAGTTGGATGTCTGATTCTGGCAGACTACATACTATTAGGACAAACATAAACAACTCTAAGAAGATTCACAAATGGACTGTGGATTTTAAAAGGTTTTAAAAAGAAGAAGTGTCCATCAAGTATGACTAAATAAAAAAAAAAATCCATACCCGGAACTTGGTCTTTGTAAGAGAGTAAACAAAAAAAAAAAGCTAGCTGCTACAGTCCACGCTGACAGCGTTAAAGCTGTGTATCCTCGCTGGCTCTGAGAGTTAACAGTGCTAATGCTAGCTCGCCTAACAGCAGATAAGTCTCTTCACTGGCTGATTCCAGATTAGAGCAACACACTAATCCCCGCAGGCCTCACTGTAGGGTCACAATCTCCAGACAGCTCATCAGCAGCAGTCTGTTATTGCTGAAATTCTCTTCACTTCGCTCGACAGGTCTCACAGGGCAACAGTGTGTACTTTTATATCGGGAGGCGTCCAACGTAAGGCATCTGGAGCTTGAAAATAATGAATGCAAAAAAAAGTATTTTTTGAGATCTAAAAGTGTCAAATAAACAAGCATCACTGCTTAATAACTGACTGGAAGTCATATATAACTTGGTACTTTGTTATTACTTAGAGAATTGTCTGCCTGATCCTGTAGCTCACCTATTTGCACACGTTCTGCAGTGATGACAGTATTTTGTAGTTGTAGTGATAAATACACACTAATTCTGCATCAACTCAAGTTGTCAAACTGTTAAAAAAAGGAGAGCAGCAATAATTGCTTTATCAATTTCCTCTCTTTAAGTGATGCTTTGAAAGAAAGCATCAGTGTGATTGATCCGCAGTCTTAAGAGTCTGCCTCTTCCCCGAGGAGTCCGCAGAGAGCATCCCAGACTCCTTGGCCCTCAGTGTGGGCTCTCAGGTGTCACATCTGCGGCCTTCTGTCGCCATGCAGGCTGTCAGAATATTGTGCTGGGGCTGCACAATTATACACATATTCATGCATGCATAGACACACACGCACACACACAAAGACAGTGAAAACACACAAAAAAGACAGTACAGACAGAGCTGACAGAGCAGTAAAGGCCAAATGCTTCTCTTCTCTCTCTTGTTTCTGTGAGCGCATGCATGTATCTCTGAGTTCAAGTGTGCATCACGTCTCCTCTGTCGCCCTCCCGTCTGCTTTCTCAGACAGACGTCCTTGTGAGGGAGGTAAGACGGATGCTCAGTGAGTAAGATCAGCCCTGAGTCACATCTGCCTCCCACCCCGACAGCCTGCCTGCCTCGTTTGATGACTGGCTGCATCATATCTCCCATCCCTTCCCCTCCGCCACCACCCGACATAATTACACTACAGTTCCCATTTGTCCACTGTGCATAAACAGCTCTTCCTGAAACCCAGTGCTGTCTTCTATTAGATCCCAGAACCATCAGCAGGCCTGAGCATGATTCTGACTGTCAGTCAGGCCCAGACAGCCAGCCAGTCCGAGCCATGCCTGGACAACAATCACATTATCCCAACACAGGAACACAGACGGAGAGAGAAACACAGCAATCAATATTGTACACTGACGTCTGTCTGACCACTTAAGTTCTTCCCAACAAGACGCTTCCCACCGCGACTGAAAGAAGATATTCAGCTCGAGCAAATGTTCATATCATAGGACCATGTGAGCAAAAAACAGCAGAAACTGATACATTTCTGCCTTCTGCATATTCAGTTGCAACACACTGCAGCTTGTATGAGGAATTACGGGATAAGATTTCAGATTTGAGTGTGTTACTGTCAGCACTGTCACTGCAGTTCCTGTTATGAAACAGTGACATATTCACCCTGTCAGAAAAACAAAGAAATCAGACAGTTTAATCAAAATATTTGACTCTCACTACTCCCACTTATGTAACTGCCACACAAAGGTTTATCTGTGTTCTGACTGGCTGGCTACGGCTTTGTCAGGTCTCTGTCAGGCAGAGTGAGTGGTCCAGCACACATCAGCGACACCTCCCCAGCCATCCATCTCTTTCTCTCTCTCCTCTCCCGCCTCTGCACATTTCACTTTGACAAATGTACAAGAACAGGCCGCTCCTGCAGGACTGTGGGAGGCGGGGAGGGGAGGTATGGATCGGAGGGGGGAAATTGGATTTGATAGATAAATGTCTGAGGGTAGCGTTACTGCTCGCTCTTGCTTCATATGTGTGTGCATGCAGACTGCACAAGTGTGGGGTTAGTGCACAAAGACTGTTGAGTAGACTGTTTTTGAGAAGCTACCACCCGGACAGCTCATCTCAATAGCACATTAATGTTTAATGGGGACTAAAAATATCTGACATTATAATGCTCTATGGGCTTTTTGTGTGATGTCTATAGTTGCAGCTGTTTGTTGAAATAAAAAATAAAAAAATCCGAACCACAGATTCATGGTAACTTCAACAGACACAGAAAGGAGCAGAATAATTTGCAAATTAAACTGTTTGTTGGTATAATCATGAGCTTCTCTGTGTCTTGCTAACAAAACATCCTAATAACCTTTATATAGTGCTCAAAACACAAAACAGCTACATTGTGCATTAATGTCCTGAGTCCAATAATGAAATGCTTCTGACTGGATCACGACTTTAACCCATCCAGTGACATGTTTTTAATTGTTTTAATTTCATGAAAAAGTGAGTAATTGTAGCATGAAGAACAATGAGCATTCATTGTATCGTCCACTGTCTTGCAAGTCAACGGCAGTAAATGGGATGATGTATGAGCATGCATCTGGCGGCGTTTTAGTAAAGTGGTGGTTCTTACCTGCAGACTTGGGAGTGAATTTGTCCCTGTTGGCGGCACACACAGCTAGCAACCTGTAGCCCAGGTCTAAGTCATACCCCTGCTGAGCAGCGACGCGACTGACCACCTGAACAAAGAGCAACAGATTGTGAGTTTTTAAATAATACTTTTATCACATCATCACAAATTGGGTGAACAGCGCTTTCTTATGCAATACCACAAGATATTAATCTCTTACACGAGTAATGGATGCTAAATAAACCTTAAGCCATAGTTAAGGCACCTTAATCCTTTCACTTTCTCAATTGTGTTAATATTTTGAGCCTCAGCTATCATTTAACTTCATTTGTCTTCAGACAGCCTCACATACAATAAACACTCACTCACAAGCACACACAGACACAGTGAGATTAATGTGGAGTCTGCAGTCTGGATTGCTCCACTGATCCACAGTCAGGATGAGTCTGATGACTGCATCAACCTCCAAGAGAGGTGTGGGAGCCAAACCACAGTCACTCTGCAGAACGAGCAGAGTCTCTGAAAGGTTATCCTCAGACAAGCCCGCTCTGGGCCTAAAGCGAACAGTTTGTCTCCTGACTAAAGGTTGCCGGTTCAATTACCCAAACAGAGCAGGAGAAATAATGGGTGAACAAAGGTTAAGAATCCTCGCTTTCCCTGAAAATTTGAGAAGAACCAGTACCCAGCTGTAAGAATTTAAATAATCCTTTTGTGTTAATGACTTCAAAAAGAGGTTGAACATTTATGGGACATGAAGCAGAAGCCTCCCAGACTCTAATATAATGTTAAAGGGGGAATGCTGAGTGACGTTAAACAGGACCCAGGAGACAAGGGTAAATCATTATTAGAAGGGAACCCCCTTTGCTTTTATCTGCTAACAGATGACTGCTCCTCTGCTCCCTATGACCTCAAAACACACATTACCGTTAACAAGGTCAGCTGGGTAGCCTTTTAGAGAGCCAACATAACAGCTAGCAGTGATCATAAAGTGCCTTTGTCACAGGTAATATAGCTGCTTGAGCACTGATTGAAAAACTAAGGAAATGATGTCAATGAAAAGCCTTTGTTTGATTGTTTTAATCAAGAGATGGCAACATACAATCCTAGAGTTGCAGTAAGTCGTGTTGCATTTATCTGAACCGTTTATGTGACATAAGGATGTCATTTCAGGGATAAATACATCACAGCATAATTTATGCAAACCAACCATATTATGCAAACAATGACGATTCTGACAAACCGTCAAATCGTGTTGTTGTCAATTGTTTCATTTCCTGTGTGAGTTAGTCTGCCCTTCAGGCAGACAGCCAGCTACAGAGGCTAGCATAGATTCAACACAGATTTAACAGTGTTTCACCTCATAAGCCTTTTTCAGCTTAATCTCCCTCTGAGGACGTACATCCAGGCCCATATTCCTGTCAATATAAAAACAGTGCTGTAAGAGGTGCTGGGGGGTTACTGGGCCTTTCGTATCTTTGTTTATCTATTTGCTGGTGAAAAAAAGGCATCAGTTCCGTAGTTTATTTCTGTTTGTTGTTGAAACAGTTGAACTAAGTGGGCGATTTTTACAAAACTGTGAGACTAGAGGCAGAAATAATACAGATGTCTGCATACACTGACAATACCCACACTCTCAATACAGTATGCATAAGAAAGTCAAAAAATAGTCTTTAGGCATACGGAGCTAATAGTGCAGAACTGACAGCTCAGTTTTGTCATATTTTATTGGCTCTGGAGCAAGAGATACCAGAGATCAGAGCATGACCTCCACATGTACAACATGCCAGAGGGAACAGACGTCTCCACATGAGGCATAAATCTCATACACTGTGGGCTATGATTAAAATAGATGCTCAGCCATCTTTAAATTTCAATTCAGCGATCTAATAAATAACGAGCAAGGTAACTTCATGAAGGGAAAATCCCTGAAAGAATGCATGGACTTGTTGCACGCTGTAATTCTCCAGATAAGAGGCAGTTTGCTCTCCGAGTCTGATGAAACAATTTAGCTGATGGAAACAGCCCCATGCTGAGAGGGATCTCAGTGGTGGGCTCCATTGTATAGCTCTTTATCAGCCTTTAAGAGGCTTTTATTGTGATTTACACATTAATGAGCATTTATCTGTTTGCGCACGCTACCACTTCAGCTGGGGACAATGTTCCTTCAGTGTTTCAACGACTGATCTGAGTGATAAACGTGTGAAACGTTAAATTCTCTGCTCCAAAGCCTCTTTCACACATGTATATGTAAGTGTGTGTGTGTGTGTGTGTGTGTGTGTGAGTGTTTTTCACACACACCTGGTGGAGGCCAGCTTTCTGGCTTTGTGCCCAGATCGATGAATGGTAGCTGGTGAACTGAAAGGTGGTAGCCAGAGGTGGCTGGCTACCCACAGTCCTGTTCAAAGCTCTTTTTTGTTGTGCATGTGTATGTGTGTGTTTGTGTGTGTGTAAAGCACAAAGTGGAGAGAAGCAGTGGGTGAAGGAGGACTTTAACCTGTGTCACTGGCCCCTGACGGCCTGAGCAGCTGCCTTGGATAACTGCTGGATACAAACCTGGGGAGACTATAGCCTGCTGCTAACTGTTTTTCCTCAGATTTGTAGGGAAGAAAAGGTATAACCCAAATACAAAACGAACGTGAGGCAAAAAAGCCTCAGAAGCGGACACATCAGCTCATGTTTTTTTTCCTAGCTATCCAAAATCTAATTATTGTTTTGCTCATGTCTCCAAAAAAGTACCTGAAAAACCCAACAAAAACCATAATTAGTGTTTGCGTACCGTCAGACATCCCATGAGACTTTGCTCGAAAGGTCGCTGGAAGGCCCGGGGATCTCCACACCAGTCGAGCAGCTCTGTGGCTGCTGAGTGGAAGTTGGCCGGGTTCTGTAAGTGCTGTGCAAACACAGAGAAAGGAGACGGCCATTAGAAACAATGGGAAATAATGAGCGTTATTTTTTTCAGATTAAGTACAAATTGGAAAAACACTGAAACCAAATAGTTTTGCAGCCTTGCGCTCTCCCTCCAAACTGCCTTGATTTAATGTCTTCTGTTTCTGCACAACCCTGTGAGGACCTTGACTCCTTCCAATGTACGCCCACTCAGGGCTCCGCTGCATTGTGGGAAGAAGATCACACCCATATCAACAATGATGCCAGTGTTTCCTGTTAATCTCTCTTGGCAACACCCAGCCCTCACCCCCATGACCCACACAGCAACCAAATCTTTCCTTCCAATCCTCCTTCTCTCTCTTCCCCTCATTCATTGCCTGTTTTCAGAATGTAACAGAGCCTCGGCACCAGAAGTCCACTGGCCGGCTTGGCTGTTCACAAAGAAAACAACCTTGGTCCTGGCAGCTATGGGTGCAGACTCAATATGCGCCGTTGGTGTGTTGTCTAATCTCTTTCAGTCTCTGTCTGTCTCTCTCGCCTGTTCACTGAGGCCTGAAACAGTTGAGTCTTTTCTTCCCAGTGTCTGAAGGCTACTCAGGCTGGCAGGACACAATAAGCGGTTTTAAAATTGGGCTCCCTTTCTTCACGGCTCAGGAGGTTAATAGCTCTGAAATGGCGCAGAGCTGCAGCTTGTTCAGTCGGCGAGATTGAGCCCACTTGAAAGCATTTATTATTCTCATCTGGGGCTGAAGCGTTTTGTTTTGTGTTCTTGCAGAGAAGGTAGGACTATTGTTTTTAGGGGGCAGCAGAGGTGAGTGTTTTTTGAAAGGGCAGCTTTTTTGGCAGCGTGTGACAAAAGGGCTCTTCGGTGCGAACATGTTAGGCCCGGTACCCGCCTGCAGAGAAAATCTCTTAGAGCTTCCAATGATATCATGAGTTTCAAGAGAGGCCTTGAGTGACTCATCTTTTTTGATGTGAAGATTAGCCATTATAGACTTAGCTGTGGACTCTCACAGGGGTTTGACTGATTATGAAGAGAAAGCAGGGAGACTGAGAGAAAGTGAGAGATGCTCTTGTTGAGTGAGAGGGAGGAGAAGAGCCTGTTCTAGATGAGTGATATAATCTGGCATTATTGCTGCTTGATGGGAGGCGTATCAGCCTCCAGCGCGAGAGGAATCAGAACTAGCACAGCAGGGGCTGTCTGTCTAGATCTGAACTCACAGCTCCTCCTGCTGCAGCGCTTGCCACCGACTCTGCCTGACAACCTCGACTCTAGTGTGAGGGGGAGGAAAGCGGAGGGAAACAGCTCTGCTGAGTTTTGGGAGCAGGACGAGGCCTGAGCTGCTCTTGTTGTTGTTGCTGTTCAGGGTTGGATGAGGACAAGAAAGGGGAGATGGGGGTGGGGGGCTGAGAAGCAGTGATGGGGTTTCAGCAGACAAAGACCCAGACGTTTGACAGACTGTCCCGACTGTGAGATGATGGACTGACTTACCCCCTTTTCAGGCCAGCCAAGGATCGGGCTGCTCAGTGCCTACCTGGCTGCATGAAAAACAGCATAACACCTGGCTCTCTGCCAGCGGCTTTCCCCAAACCAAAACAACACCCTGCTAGCAGAACCGCCACAAGCTCAGCTCACTGACTAACTTGCTGCCTTTGAAGTCTGGTTTACTACGAGTTCTATTACAGCCAGAGCCGAGGAGTATATAAACCAAACTACAATTAGTGTATTTATTAAGCTAGATGTGTTAACTCAGGCTATTTAGGGCTTATCAGTGACGCCTGGGAAAATAATTGAGGAGGCTTTGTGAAGTGAGTAGTGTCAGTTCCACCACATTTTACTCATTTGAGAAAAGCTTTTGGAAAGACATTTTGGAAATAAGGTTTTTCTCAAAACTTTGACTTCACACACATCGCTACATGCAAAGTAGCAGAGCTGAGGCAATAAGAGCCTGTTTAGATAAAGGTTGTTATAGTGGTTGCTCAGGAGTTTAGGTGGAGGTGGGATGGGGGGGGATTTAACAGCAGGCACAGAGAAAAGGGATATGTCACCTCATAATCGCAAGCTCAAAGCCCTATCATTCACTGATTCACTGTAAGCTATGGTGTCATATGGATGTTGGGAGATAGAAAGGATCACACCCACACGGCATAAACAAATAAGCCCACAGCCAACCAGCCAACCAGCCAGCCAGCCAGCCAGCGACTTCTTGTAGACTATTAATCACAGGCAGAGGCGGTAGCCCTGGGTTATGTCTGTCTGTCTGACTCCGTCTTTCTATCCGTATCTGTCTGTGAGGAGTCTCCTGAATGCTGGCAGTCAAGGAAGCATTTAAGCTAAACCACAACAAGGGCCAAGCAATACGTCAAGAGTCAGGAACGTGATGTAAGGGTGCACAGGACCAGGAGAGGGTTGGGAGGGGGGGTTATGTTGCTAGCGTCTTTGAAGTCTCTTCATGTGTTCACTGCCAGATTTGCCTCCCTCTCTCTCTCTCTATGACCCTGTGCAACATGATCTGTGTGACTGGAGCTAATGGCCAGAAAAACTGATGCCCATATAAGGTGCTGAAAGGAGAAAGGAGTGTAGGAGAGGAGAGGAAATGCAGATTCTTGTGTCTTTGCCTCTAGAATCCATCTCTGCATAGTACCGAAGCAAGTTGAAGGAGGCTGCTACACATGAGGCTTTATACACACCTGTTTGATGCACTGCAGCCTGTCATTGGTCTGCTGGATGTGCCGGTCCATTGATGGTAACGTGTTCATCTTGATGTCTCTACCGGGACGCCATTAAAAGATCTTTATTCTGTAAAAAGAGGAAGAAGAAGAGGAGGAGAGGTACATCTGTTAGAACAGGTTTTTGTCAGGTCACCCATGTGAGGAGTTTGTAGCCTGTGAAGTTCAAACAGCATTTTAGCAGCTTGACAAATTCTCAAACAGGGAAGGCAGCTTGTTTATATACTGACTCATCTAAGGGCTTGATCTGCCTCAAGCGTGTTTTTTTTTTTTTGGCAAATGCATGAAACTGAGATATTACACAGTGGCACCAGTAACGACAGAAACATGACAAAACTGAAAGAAAACTTTATTACTTTATGTTACCTGTGGGAGGAAAATGTAACCGAGAATGGACATCAACTGTTATTTCTCTTTAAAAAGAAGCACACCTCACAGTCAAGGTTATCAGCGTGGCATAGACACCTAATTTATGCCCACATCTAAACGCAGATAAGGTTCAGCTTCGAAGCATCTCTTTCTTTGTGTGTATATCCTGTTCTGATCCAACAGTGAACAGCAACGACAAGAACAATTTGAGCCCCCATGCTCACTACTCCGACCATCTCGGAGAAATGGGTTGAGGCTGGATTAATAGGTATCATGCTGCTTTGCCAGCGAGGCCTCCGTCCCTCACCATCCCTTCTGTGTTTATCTCCATCAGTGTTGGTCTGCCTCACATTCCTCCACACAAAAGGCGAACTGAGAAACCACAGGTGGGAGGGGGGGGGCAGGGTTCTAGAAAGCTGCTCAGTACTGATAAAGGGTCCCCCAAGATCCCCTGCTGTGACAAACAGAGCGAGAGAACGAATGCGATGGAAGCATAGTGTTCAGCCAGGGAGTTTTCATGTGTAATGCTCAGTCTGGTGGGCTTATCTTAGAAAGAGTATTGCAAGTATGCGCACTCTTTTTCTCGTCTTTCTCTGTTACACACACACACACACACACACACACACACCTAAGAGCATGTAAACACAAAAGCTTGAATTCTTTACTTTGATTAAGCGTAAAGGTAAAACTTCAAAGGAACACCTTGAGAATAAGAGTGTATTACTAATCCTCTGAGCTTAAGCATTACCAGAGTAGAATTACCTGGAGTGCACTTGCACAAAGTCTTAAACATCAGCGGATATATTGCTGGCGTAAGTAAGGGGGAATTCTGGAGCAAATGCGGTCAAACGGTGGGCAGACAAATGTCTCTTGTCAGGTTACACGGACATGATGGTGCAGTGGTTGCTGACTGTCTCTGAAAAGTCCCTAAAAACCAGCTCTGCAGGGCACAAAGCCACTCTCACCGCACATAATATGACCATAACTTTGGGTGGCCTAATTCTGCTGTGTTGTGTCTCCCAGCATCCAGCAGATGTCTCCCTCTCCTGCTGCTAACCAGCATGTCTCTTTCACAAACTACACCCGGAGCAAGTGGTCCAGAGAGGGCTCCTTTAAGCCCTGACAAGTGCTACAAATCCCCTTCAGCAGCCAGGCAGCTCCACGGACCGCTAACAGGGCACACTCCAGCCCAGCGCTGGCCGTCTGACCTTGTGGCTATTGATTAACTGTTTCTCCTCAGCTCCCCTTCCTGCTGTCCCAACACACCCACAGCCAAGACTGAAGAGAAAGGAGGAGGGTGGGAGGGGGTTGAGAAATCTGCCTTTTCTTTACTCAATAATCTCTTCTTTTTTCCGTCCTTTCCACTGTTGTGCTTTCACAAGGACCAACACACACACACACACACACACACGTCCTCCCACAAACGGGCAGTGCTTTGTCAGTCGATGAAAAGACGGGCCCTCAGGTTCTGAAAGGAAAATGAGTGAGGTGGAAATGCAACTGGCCGGCCAGGCGGTGTTCAGTCGGTGGTGAACAGTGATAAGAAGTCAATCCACCTGACTGACTGACTGACAGACTGACTGTCCAGGCTGACGACCACACCCCCCATTCAGGGGGAAAAATGTGTTGCATAACAGTGGAAACATTGTAGAATCCCTCCTACTGCCCCACACCCTCACCCCTCCCTGTTTACTATCAAAATAAAACTGTAATCTGTCAACAGGAAGGGATAGCAGCAAAATGTTCTCACACATCTCTGCCTCTCCGTAGATTGACTGATTACAGCTGGGCGGACAAAACTGGTAGCGTTGTGATTTTTCTCCCGTTTTCAAGATTGTTTTAGTTTCTGTTTTAGATTTTTTTGGGCTACTGTTATTTGAGCATGCACAAGCTGAAGACGGGGCCGCTTAATCTTTATTGTCTTCCAAACATCTTAATCAGCTCCACTCAGCACTGCTTACCAGAGGTGCAAAGCAAAGGATTACACATCCAATTATGCTGTGCATATTACAACCTCCCTTTAAACAGCAGTGGGAGGATGCTGCTATGAATCAGAGCGGAGTAATAAACCACAAATAATACTAACATCCAAGGGAGCTTCTGTTTCGTTATTTCACTGTCTCAAACACACACACACACACACACTCTCTCTCTCATTTTAGTGTCCCTCCTCTCTTTCCTGGGCAAAACAAGCAGGGGGAAGCGGGGCAAGAAATAAGTGCTCAGAAACAAAAGCAAAGTAATATGAAAAGCACTGGAGTATGGCAGGAAGGGGGCAAGAAGGGCCAGGCTCAGTGGGGAAAAGAGACAGAGAGAAAGAAAAAGAGAGTGTTGAAATTATCACTTCATTATCAGCAGCACACACACACACACACACACACTGCGTGCACACTCACACGTAGCATATGATCACTCATAGCATGAGTGATTTCTCATTTCAGACAAATGACTACCACCTTTGTCAAGTGAAGCTTGCTTTGTGAGTGTGATCAGTCAGTGGGGGTTGCATGGAAGCGCTTACACAGGAACTCACACTGCACTCCAATACTGGGTATTGTAAAGGAGCAGGGCTGGGCATTATGGTTGGAATCAGTGTCAATATGTTTCCAATTCCAATATATTCTGGTATTTTCCCTTAAAAGGTCCAACGTTTAGGATTTAGTGGCATCTAGTGGCTTAGTTGCAGATTGCAAGCAACTGAATACTGCTCGCCTTCCAAGGATGCAGGAGAAAATACAGCAGCGAAAACGATCTGGAGCTAGTGTTTGGTCTCCATAAAAGAGACCTGCTCCCTTCATATGTAATAACTGCTCATTCTAAGTTAACAAAAACCCAACGATTCTTATTTTCAGGTGATTATACACATAAAAATATTCCCTATGAATATTATATTCCATTTTTAATAGTTCCTCCTAAATGTTACACACTACCTTTAAATTGAGCAATTTGAAGCAATCCAGTTTGCAAACACAAGCACACATAAACAACTTATTTATACGCATAAAACAATCTAAAAATGCAAATATGACTGAAACACACAAGGGTTAAGGAGAGCTGGCCAACAATATCCAACACCACAAAGGTATTAGAGTTGAATACAGGCTAAATCTAAAACCCATTCTTGATAGCATCCATTCAAAGTAGTCACAGAGGACATGCTGAGAATAGTATGTCTTTCTGAGGATTTGTTCAGTATTTGGCTGTGCAAGGGATCCCTGAGGTTAACAACACCTTGCAATTGGTTCTTGTCCTTTTGATGTAAACAATCCAATAAATGAAAAGGTTAATGCATAATAACAAAGTCTTCATAGGTGGGAGACAAAAACGTCAATAGCTTATTTTGTTGGCTTTTAATTACATCTTGCTCAGAATAATATTTAGACAACAGAAATCTGTGAAATGATAAAATGACATGATCATATCATCAGAATATGATCCTGCTGAAAACTGATAAACAATGATATCAAATTATCAGCTCTAGAAAGAGTACCTGAAGTCCTGCAGCCACATAAAAGCTTTGTCCCTGGAGGCGAACATGCAGTAGTTTTCTCATAAAATGTATGAATGCACAATGTTGAAATTATTTAGTGGTTTGAAAGGGTTTCACAGGCCCTGGAAGAGGAAAGGATATACTCTGTGCATTAAAGATTTTCAGTTTAAGTTAAATAATTATGGGTTTGTTTGCAATACTATGGCACACAACACCTTTTGTGGTGTTTTAATGCTCAATCTTCTAGCCTCTCCTGTATGCAAAGTGTAGAGGGCAGTGCTCAACAACCTAAAAGGAGAAACCGGGTAAAGTCTGGCCAGAGATGATCTTCATTATTCAGCAACAGTCTGGAAAAGGAGAACATATAACTCTTGCTCTCTGGCCACAGTGGGAGATCTCTCCTCCTCCTCCTCCTCCTCCTCAGTTATGGCCACAGCTTTTCTTTCTTTCACTGCTATGTGCTTTTTGCTCCCCTTTTGTATAGCCCTCAGACATCATTAGAGCCACCCAGCATGCACACTCCTTTCCACCACCTTCCATTTTCCGTTCTATCATTTTCCTCTCCCCATCCCTCATATCTCAACCCTCCTGCCACTCTTCCTCCCACCCTCCCTCACCCTCCTTCTCCTTCCTGGGGCCCCGTGCGGGAGCTGCCATAACAGGAGGTGGAATGGATTCATTTGCTCTAATGTGGTTTGGGCTGCAGCGTGGCACGGCACAGAGCGACACTTTCTCCCAGCGCACAGTGCTTCTCTCCCTCTCTGTCTGCAGTTCATGTGTTTTCAAACAGGCCAATCAACACCACTCAGCTGTGCTGGCCTCTCTCTCCCTCCCACAATCTCTGCTCTCAGTATGTCTGTAAAAAGCCACCAGCCCTCTCTCACACACACTATTATCTCCAGTGGCAAACTCCCATAGCCAGACAGTCCCTTTTTGCTCTCATTGCCTTTATTTTCTCCACTCTGTCCTCAGCTTCTTCATTTTTTTACAAACCGACTTCCAACATCTCTGTCTCTCTGCCTTGTTTTTGTTCTTTGCATTATTTTGCTAATCCTCTCCTCCACTAATCTCTCCTCCCTCTCATTTTCCCTCTCAGCAAAGCCAGCTACCGGTCATATCGCTCCCTCCGGCCTTTATAAAACTCAACCCTCTACACAGCATCATAACCACCAGCCTCTATAAAAATCTGAAATGACTTGTCCCTGGGGTGG